ACCTGTAAAGCACTTTGAGTGGAGTGTCCAGAAAAGCGCTATATAAGTGTAAGCAGTTTTTAATTCTTCTTCTTATTATTATTATCTTTGCGTGTATACCACATGCTGAATTACAAGTGTCTGGATGTACTGATAACCACATTAGTTGAATCCTGACATGTTATTCCTGCTGCTGAGGACTGCTCTATTATGAACAGCTGGTCACACTTCAAGCTTGTCCAGAAATGTCAGGAGAGCTGCACACATTTCTTTGCACTGATCGTGGACTGATAAGCCAGCAATCGAACAAAGCCTCTTCGTCATGTCTGGTCTTTGCGAGGGGAGGTTTGAATTAAAGAACAGTGTTGTGCATTCAATCAAAGCACACGTGTATTTAATTATTATTTTCAAACAGATGACTAGTGGTTATATGAGGATTTCCTGTTTTTTTAAGGGTAATCAGCAAAGATAAATACTCTGACCTGCCTTATTTAAATTCTCCCCTTCAGTGTTTTGTGTCATTTTGAAAGGTCCTAAGACGTCTTTGGATGTTACTGTGAACAGTGTCGCCCTGGTTTTCTGTTTTCTAGTTGTGTAGCAGCCAAACCCAAAGTGTTTGATCAGTATGCCCGACTGGCTGTGTTGTGTCCAGCAACAAGCATGGCCACATCTGACTGCTCTCCTGGTCTTCCTGGGGTGTTGGTGTGGCATTCTGAGAACCGCAGTGTTCCACACTGTCCCTGGAGATCTGCAGGACTGATTTCCATTCAAGTCATGCTTACATCCAGTTGGATTTTTATTTCCAGTGAGCGGGTAAGCCCAGACTGTTGGAAATTAATTTCAGTAGGGTTTTGCCTGTACACCAGTAAGCAGAAGCAGATGTGGCGAGAGTTCATAGAGACGTTTCTGTAGCCTCTCCCCGTCTGGCGGGGGACAAGGTGAGTCAGACAGGTCCCCTGCAAACTGCTGGATAACTACCGCAGTTTTTTTGAGGAGAAGAACCACAAGCTCTTTACTGTATTTTTAGCACCGGCCCGTTTAACTCCCCCAGAACACTGCTGGCTTTGTTGGAAATGTCCCAAGCCTTCTCCTCCTTACCAGATCCTGGCTGCTCCAGGGTAATTCCTAGGCTTGAGTTCTCTCCCAAGCATGCATACATCCTCTGGAGATCTGTATATCCTGGTAGTAAAGAGAAATTGTGTTGGCTTTGGCCCCTCTGATACTCACTTTTAGAGGCAGGATATCAGTGGGACAAATAACGTGAAAGAGCTTGTTTGTGGGAGAGAATGGTGCTTGGCTTCAGAACCTGTTGGGCTTTGTTCTGCCTTTCCTGAGAATGGACACAGCTCCTCTCGCTGTCCCCAGAAAGCATGTTATGGACCGGTGTCCCGTTAAATTTGAAGCGTACATTCTGAGAAGAAAGGAGAGAATTAGGACAGACTCTTCAGTCATGCAAACTCATCAACAGTGGGCATGATGACCAACAGATTCTTTAAAATTCTGTTTAGGAACGCAATCACGGTTTCTAAGTGCAATCCCTTGATTGTGTACTTTGTGTATACGTACTGTTTTTACTTCTGTCCACAAGCCGCACCCTCTCCGATCTCAGAGGAGGAGTGTGGCGAGAGAGGATCTCTCTCTCTCTCTGGCATGCCCCTACCCAGCCCGTTCAGGCGAATCTCTGCACCAAGGCCTCAGTGTCAGGAGTGATCCATCTTTCTGACAGCCGCCTCGGCTTTATCGGAGTCAAGAGGGCAGCCTGTGAGAGCACCCCAGCGCAGCGCTGGTGAAGATTCCCCGCACCGATGACAAAGTACGTGTCGACTGACGAAGTCCAGATGCGCAGGTCGCGGAAAATAGAAGGTACCGCTCTGTCGGCTGCCTGCGTAAACAGTCACCCACGTAGGTCCTGATGAATTTGAA